AAAATCGCATAACAGCCGAGCATACACCCAGCAGCGCTGCTGATGCCTGAACGGTATGTGGAATGAAGTGGGCGGGCATCGGGAGGCCACTATGGCACGGGGCAAGCACTATGGGCAGTCTATCTGAAGTGTACCTGGCGTATAAGACGACCCCCCACTTGGAGGCATATTTTTCAGGGCCAAAAAATCGTCTTATACGCCGGCAAATACGGTACTCAACTTATTGACTTGAAATTGTATATTTTTACATACATACAATGCTTTCATTATTATTTTTTTAATACTATTCTTTACTTCACAGGTTGACGAAATTAGAGAGATGGTTGATAATGATTTAGGTTTCCAGCAGGCTCCACTAATGTGCTATTCCAGAACTAAAACTCTTCTCTTTATTTCTAATGATAAGAAAGTAGTTGGCTGTTTAATTGCAGAACATATCCAATGGGTAAGTGATTTTTAGAATGTTCATATATAGTTTGACATTTAAATAGTTTATTATGTAATCTTGAATAACATAATCCTAGTAAATTTATGAACATTTAATGTAAGGAAGAGTGTGAATGCAAAATTTCTGTGTGTAATTCTTTACAACAATAGAGCTGTATTTTCAGTGGGTATTAGTTTCTCAAGTCAAGTATGTAAGATAAAAATTGTATAAATCAAAAATACTTTTAAATTTTATTTAGGAAGTTTCCATGTTGGATACTAATGTAATGTCTATACCAATTAGTCCCTTCTGTATTGGAATAAAGAGTTGGAAAACTATAGCTCTAGGTCAAAACCCAGTCGGTTTTTGTAAATAAACTTTTGTGGTAACATAGCCATGCCCATTTACTTACATATTGTCTGTGGTTTCCTTCACACTACAAAGATTGAGTTAAATAGTTGCAAGAGAGACCAGATGGCCTTTTATAAAAAGTTGCCCACCTCCAAAATAGGTCACCACTTCTTTGGTTGAAATCTAGATGATGAGTTGGCTTGCATTTAGGATCTAAATTGTACAAAAACACAAGCAGTAGAATCAGTAAAAGGAATATATTCACATTATGAGAGTTAAGTAGTAACAGACTAACTTAAGAAAACAAAAGATCCTGAACTCTCCTTAATTATGCTCACTTTGAGGCATACCCCATTTGAAATTTGTCTCTTTTTAGCTGAGTTCTTACTGATGAATTCAATACTTATTGAATTTGACTTCTATTCAGTTGGTATCTTTTAGGTTGCTTGCAAAGGTGTACTTCATCATGAAATTTTCTAATAAGTCAAAATAAGTGTGTGAGTTAATTCTGTACGTGAAGCTATTTTTTCAAAAAAAATTCAGCGGAAATTGTGTAGTTTTATGAATCTTGCTGTTTATAATAACAAAATTGATTTCAATCATAGCTGATAGAGGAGTTTGGGAATATTAATTTTATATAAAATGACTAACTCATGAAAGCTTGCCATATTGAAATTGAGTTAATTTTACATTGTGCAAAACCCTTGTTTTTTTTTTCTTTCTTACCTAGTTCTAAAAATGACTTGTAGTAGAAGTGTTTAGACTAGAAGATAGATATGTAATGCTTGCTTTTTGTGTTGTTGTTGTTAATTCTTAATTGTATTGTCTAATTATTTTAAGTTTAATACTAGACTGGTGGAGAAGATGTATGTTTTTAAAGCACTTTGTTTTTTTTAAGAAAGAGATGAGTATGTGGGGAAAAGTACTTTTCTAAATTCTTGATTACTCTGCCATCCCTATTCCTAATTCCCACATAGCCGCGAACCCTTGAACTATGGCAGCAATCACAGAAACCATTGTTATGACTGCTGATGATGTTATGATGTTATGATGTACTTTTGCTGGTCCTTAGGATGTGGGAGATAGAGAAAACTAGCATTCAGTTCCTATTGTGTCAACCATGATGACAAGGTGCTTTGTATGTATTACCTTATTCAGTTTCTCAACAATTCTCAGAAAGAAATGGGTATTTCCAATTTATAGGTAATGAACTCAAGCTTAATGAAGTAAGTAACTTCCTCTCTTGGTTATGTAACTAGTAAGTGAATTAGAACAGAATGTAGATCCAGATCTATTACCTAAAATGAATGTGAAACGATAAATAGTCCCTATAAGTTCGTTAAGAAACAAGACAAATGTAGTGACCTCCTCACTAAGGTTAGTACTAGATAATTGCTAAGTAATATTCTCACTTGAAATTTTTTTCCAATTTTGATACCTATAGGGCTACAGAGTTATAGAAGAAAAACTTCCAGTGACCAGGTCAGAAGAAGAAAAAGTCAGATTTGAAAGACAAAAAGCCTGGTGCTGCTCAACATTGCCAGAGCCTGCAATCTGTGGGATCAGTCGAATATGGGTATTCAGCATGATGCGTAGGAAGAAAATTGCTTCTCGCATGATTGAATGTCTAAGGTAATTTGAATGTAATCCTTCACATTCTTTTTAGTACTTTAGGAAAACTTGCCTTAATTTAATAATAATATTTATAAATTATCTAAGCCTTTTATTCATTTTTCTTGTGCTTTTATCACTTGATTTTTAATCAGAGGTATTGAGGGAAAGACTCAGACGAATTGCATGTTTTGGTTTTTTGTTCTTTAAAGAACCTTTGCTAAAAGATTAATGGAAAAGGTTAAAATTAGTCATGCAAATGAGGTTTTTAGTTCAAGCTCTTGTTTTTGTTTATTCATAGAGTCCGTATCTACTATCTATTGATATAGTTTTCAAAATAATCCATCATTGTTTTTTTTTTAAATATATTTTATTTATTTTTTACAGAGAGGAAGGGAGAGGGATAGAGAGTTAGAAACGTCGATGACAGAGAAACATCGATCAGCTGCCTCCTGAACACCTCCTACTGGGGATGTGCCTGCAACCAAGGTACATGCCCTTGACTGGAATCGAATCTGGGACCCTTCAGTCCGCAGGCCGACGCTCCATCCACTGAGCCAAACCGGCCAGGGCATCCATCATTGTTTTAAGTGAGATTCTAAGGCTCTGAAATCTTAGCGCCTTTATGTGTTTCTTTTCTCCCCCTTGTTTTAGTACTGAGTCATGATTCAGAAGGGCTCAGATCTATCCACCCTTTTCATGACAAGAGGCAGGTCTGTTTTTAGCTCTTTCAGAACTAAATCTAGAAAATGCAGCTGACTAAATAATAGTCTTAAAGAAGGGTATTGCTCCTTCTTTAAACCTTGTAAAACTTAGATTTTATAACAATCATAAGATTGTTCTTGTTTAGCCGAAACCGGTTTGGCTCAGTGGATGGAGCGTCGGCCTGCGGACTGGGGGGTCCCGGGTTCGATTCCGGTCAAGGGCATGTGCCTGGCTTGCGGGCACATCCCCAGAGGGGGGTGTGCAGGAGGCAGCTGGTCGATGTTTTTCTCTCATCGATGTTTCCGACTTTCTATCTCTCTCCCTTCCTCTCTGTGAAAAATCAATTAAAAAAAAAAAAAGATTGTTCTAGTTTATAAAAACATAAAACAGTATAGCCATTGTATTTGTTCTGTGATAGTGAGATTGACACAATAAGCTTCCTATTAAAGCACATAGAATTTTTACTTTTTTCATTTATTGATCATTCTTGTTTCTGGATTATTCATTGCGAATATATAGAAATACAATTAATTTTTAAAAATATTGATATTGTGTCCTATAAAATTGCAGACCTCATTTTTAATTAGACTCTAATACATTGTTTTGAATAGTAGAGGTATGTGCAGAGATAGCCTTACCTTGTTCCTAATCTCTGGGGAACAATTTTCAGTCTTCCACCATTAACATTTGGTGTTCCTTGCTGTTCTTTTTCAGTTTGAGAAAATTCCTTCTACTCAGGGTTGTTGAATATATCTATCATGAAAGGGGATGGGTAAATGTTTTTTTTTTTTTTTTAATATATATTTTGTTGATTTTTTTTACAGAGGGAAGGGAAAGGGAGAGGGATAGTGAGTTAGAAACATCGATGAGAGAGAAACATCGATTCAGCTGCCTCTTGCACGCCCCCTACTGGGGATGTGCCCGCAACCCAGGTACATGCCCTTGACTGGAATCGAACCTGGAACCCTTGAGTCTGCAGGCCGACGCTCTATCCGCTGAGCCAAACCAGCTAGGGCGGTACATGTTTTAAAAACCATTGTTGCTTTCATAAATTTTTTTTACTTCAAATTATTATATTTTAGATGAATAGTTATTTTCAACATTTTTGGCATATACAACATTACCTAAAAAGTCTACTCAAACTGTATTTGGCAGGTTTTTCTAATTTTAATGATTCCAAACCCTATTAATTATTTTACCCTTCCACTTCCCCATCCCTCTTATTTTTAATAGGAGTAACTTTATATATGGCTCATATTTGAGTAAAGAAGAAATTGCTTTCTCAGATCCTACGCCTGATGGAAAACTGTTCGCAACACAGTACTGTGGCACTGGTCAATTTCTGGTATATAATTTTATTAATGGACAAAATAGCACCTAAAACAAAATCTTGCCTACAGTACCAGAAGACATCTATTGAAGAGTGGATTGGTTGCTGACTTTAACCAGGAACTAGGGCCATTTTTGTTACAATGAACTCAGGACTGGCAACAGCCATGAGGTTGTTCCATTTTCATAAAGTTGGAAACAATGCAGTAATAGCTTATTATTGTTTTGTTTTTTAAAGAAGATATTTTATTATCTTTTACAGAAATTTATGATTAATGTATTTTATCTATAGTTATTTAGACATGTTTACATGCAGCAGATACTTGTTCATAGTGGACTGAAAACTAATGCAAGGACTATGGTCTCAGTGATAAGTATATTTTGAAGTTCTTAATATGGAAATATACCAGTGTAGTTTGGTACTGTATTTTTTTAAATATATTGATCTGCTGATACCAGTTACAGTTTTAAAGATTGTATTTTCACAGAGCGGAAACCAGTATTTTTAAGCTATCATTCAAGAAGGGTATAATAAGTGTTTAGGAATTCAAAGCTAATTTTTTAAGGGCCTGACATATACTTTGAAGGAATCTCCACTAAAAAGCAAAGCTCCAAATAAGCAGAAGAAATTTGGAATATTGAGCTTTTTCTTCCATTTCTCTCTTTCCTGCTCTTGAGGGCAGAGAGAAGTGGAAGGTAGTAAAGAATTGAGTCTCCTTCTTGGAGACATATAAATGACTAGAATTAGTAAGGTACCCTCTAAAGTTTATTATCCTTTTATTCTGATTTTACTTCTTAAATGGCAACTGGGCACACTTAGGCTGTCAACAGAACTCCAAAGAGGTTTATAAAAACCCATGAAATAGTTGCAAGCTAAATATTAATGACTTGGTATCTGCTTGTTATTCCTCAGAAATACTACACTGAGTATATACCCTAATTACTGGACTTCATTTTGATACTTGTCAATCCTTCATAGTGCCCTCTACTTTAAAAGGGTTTATATGTTGAAAACTGCTGTGGCCTTTTATGACTTGTATATAATGTAGGATAAAATAATAAAATACTTGATAGCTTTTTCTAAGTAATAAATGAGTGGTGTGTTGTCATTTGTGCTTTTTCAGGGAGTTTAAGTTTGATACCTTAAAAAATGATGAAAACGCTGGCTTCTTAAAAGATTAGTTTTCACCAGTTTGCCAAAAGATCAGCATGTCAGCAACAACTCCTCTGAACTTTAATAAAAGGCAAATCCTGACATGAGAATATAAAGAGCCACAGCCCAAGAATGAAGCACCATAGTGATTTAATATAGATTATTTTTATGAGCTGAAATTTTATCTCCATTAAAGAATGGCTAAAAGTTTGGGCCTTAAGATTAACAGTCAGGTGTACATTTTATCTCTCAATAAGTATATGCTTTTTAAATTTAGAGAGTGGTTAAGGCCCTATACTTGTTAGGGGTGTAATGCTAAGGCAGTTTAAGTGTTTTCCTCTAACTCGTCATGATGGTCTGACTTTTGATACTCCCTTTCCCTTTGGGTTGAGACTTAATGTTTGCCTGACAGGGACCATAATTTTTTAAAATAGGATGAAATTTTCAGGAATAGTGTGTAGCTGCTCTAGTAACTGTTAATCTCATAATCCAGGTCCAGTTTCCATGCAAGCCATAGTATGCTTCTTTAGGGATACTAAATTTGGCAGTTTCAAGGAGACCTGGGGATAAAGAGGATATATTGATTGGTTTAAATATTGTTATTAGGAAATCAGTTTATTTTCATGTTCATATTTTTGAAGATATCGTCTCATATCTTTTATAATCTAGGTATTTCCTTAAGAATAGTATTAATAATATCTAACATTTGAGTTTTTGTTGTATGTCACTCCCTGTGTATGGTGCTGCATTATTTTATTTAGTTATCATGACAACCTTATGAGGTAGAGTTTATAAATAAGCAATCTGGAACTTAGAAGGTAACGAAGAGACTACTAAAGCAGTCTGAGTAAAAAATTTTGAAACATTGAACTAAAGCTGTGTTGTATGGGATGAAGATGAGAGAAGATGGATAAACTCTGAGACAATACAGTGGAAGATTTGGTGCGAGTTGATAACTGACCAGAGAAGAATCATGGCAAAGGATCTAGGGTAATTGGGAATTTTGATTTGGGTAATTGAGTAGATGTATTGACTGAGAAAGGAATACTGGAGAATTGTGTTGGGAGGATTGGATAGGAAGAACGAACTCAATTTTGGTAAAGATTTTAAGGTAGGTGAATATTTTCCAAGTGGCGATAACCTACCTAATAAAGTGGGAATATGCTAATTGACCCTCATGCCGTCGCAAAGATAGCAGCACCCATAGCCAATAAGGAGGGAATATGCGAATTGACTGCCACGCCCTCAAAGATGGCAGTGCCCACAGCCAATAAGGAGGGAATATGCTAATTGACTGCCATGCCCTCAAAGATGGCGGAGCCCACAGCCACAAGATGGCCGACAGGGGAGGGCAGCTGTGGGTGATCAGGCCAGCAGGGAAGAGCAGTTAGGGGTGGCCAGGCCAGCAGGGGAGGGCAGTTAGGGCAACCAGGCCAGCAGGGGAGAGCAGTTGGGGGGTGGGGGGAACTAGGCCGGCAGGGGAGAGCAGTTAGGGGCGACCAGGCGGCCAGGGGAGGGCAGTTGCGGGGGACTAGGCCAGCAGGGGAGGACAGTTTGGGGCGACTGGGCCAGCAGGGGAGGGCAGTTAGGGGCGATTGGGCTGGCAGGGGAACAGTTAGGTGTCGATCAGGCTGGCAGGGGAGTGGTTAGGGGATGATCAGGCTGGCAGGCAGAAGTGGTTAGGGGCAGTTACGCAGGCAGGCAGGCGAGCGGTTGGGAGCCAGCAGTCCCGGATTGTGACAGGGATGTTTGATTGCAGGCAGTTGGACATCCCCTGAGGGGTCCCAGATTGGAGAGGGTGCAGGCTGGGCTGAGGGAGACCTCCCCCCCCCCCCAGGGCACAAATTTCGTGCACTGGGCCTCTAGTTTGGTATATAATTGGATATGTTGATCTAGAGTTTAGGAGATTAAGGGAATTTATGAATATAGTTATTTGAAGATTTAGAAGAGCTCACCACCCTGAGATTTATAAAATGAAAGGGTAGGAGAAAGTTGTGAGGAACATTATTACTTGAGATGGCATGCCCAAGAAGAGTAATTGAAACTAAGGGAAGAGTCTCAAGAATAAAAAGAAGAGTCAACACTGTCACATCACAATTGAAGGCTGAAGAGTGACCTTAGAAAAAGAAGAGGGATCTACAGAGTGGTGGAGGCAGTATTGGACACACGGAGTATTGGACACAGTAAGTATGTACTAGCAGTCACAGTTAAACTTCAAAGGAGGTTGATTCTACAATTGCTGCTTATAAAGGGGCTTTTAAATTTTGCTGCCATTGAAAAGTTGTTTCATTATAAAAATGACTAGTATATAGACATTATAGGAACCACAGGTATAGACAGGAACTATTTGATTTTATTTGGGGTATGCTCTGGTCTGCATGGCCATGCAATGATTTTATTTTGTTTGAATTATAAATATCACTATTTTGCCAGTTCATAATATAAAATAGTGAACTTGGTGTATCTACTAAAGGCATGACTTTCCTTTTTCTTTCTTATATAACTTGTTCCATCTTTTGTCATGGTCACTGAAGTAAATACTAAGGAAAATACAGTGTAAATGGCTTTGCCCTTGCCTCACCTTCCTGGAATCACCTTTAGTGAGGGTTTTTCAATGAAGCCAGGGTTTCAGTGTTACAGCAATATTATCTTAGACCTAGAGGAAATTTAAGGGCCAATTACAGTGACTAAAGAGACTTCCAAGAAATGTTTGTCACTGGATGTTGTTCTAGGTCTGGGTAGCCAAATAGGAAGGTCTGATAGTTTCACAACTTTTAGTCTTTCCAAGGCAACTGTTTTGGAATATGTAGTGGAACCCTGGCAGTTTCTATTTGCTCTTGAATTTGTCATCATACTTGTATTTATTGCCCCTCCCAAGGTAATGGGAAACTTTGGCCTAGGAGACTGTTTTCACGGTTCTATTTAAAAGTCTATTATTTTAACAGTCTATAGAACTAACTGAAAGGCATTATTCTGGAATAGCAGTTACTCTCCTAATTTGGTAAAATTAGTTCGAGTTTAGAAATAAAATGGGAGATTAACATCTTACGTCATATTACACAGTTCTTGCAAACCATTCTGCCTCAACAAAGGACAGCAAAGTGAGTACAGTTGTCATCTATAAATAAAAGATTGGGGTTATGTGTACAATGACTATTTCTAACATCTCTTGAATAATCATTTATAGATCTGTCTTCCATAATTATGTGGAACTCTGCAAATGGACATCGTTGTGGATAGTTATTTAACACTTTGATGGACTGTTATGCCAGGATAGTAGAATCTTAAGAGTCATCCAACCTGTGATATATGGACTTCCAGCCTTTCTTGGACGCTGTCAGAGTCAGGGAGCTCATTCCATTTATGAATATATCAGAAAGTTAAAGAAGACCAACTTTTTTATTTTGGGTGTGAGAGAATTTTAATACCAAATTAAATGGAAGGACAAGAACATACTGTAGACACAACTTAAGACAATTTAAAATCATAAACAAAATGTGAGGTAGACTAGTGAAATTCACCAAATTTTGGTTAAGAAAATTTTACAGTAATAAAGTTAACACAGGTGCCTCCTTTTCTGAAAAAAAAAAAAGCATTTGCATAAATTACAGCCAAAAAAACCTGAATACAACAATTCTAATTTTACTTTACATTCAGTATTAACCTGTGTGAACTGTCATAGTTCAACAGGTCCATAGGTTAATTATTATGGAGGCCTAGAGAACACATTCATACCACAATGTTTCTAAGGAATGGCAAGGCTTGAAGCTGAACACACCAAGGTATGTATTAACAAATCATGGTGTCCTGTGCTTGTGCAATTTTATCCTTAAAGGAGAAGGACCTAACATTCTCTAAAGAATTATACTGTTAAGGTGATTTTAAAAGATTTAAACCTTAGTAAGAAAGACATTGAAAAGAATAGGCAGATCAATTTGAACTATCATTGGGGTGATGGTCTTTTGACTTTATTCTGGTATTTCCTTCCACAGGGTTAAATAGTATTTAAGAGATTATAATCACTTGATTTTTCAGAGTGCAGCCTTAACTAATACGGAGTACCTGCATTTAATTAACTACTTTAAACATGTTCTTCAGGCTATGAAGCCATAAAGCCAGAAGAAAACCTGAGAAGCCATCTGCCCCAGCCAGGTACAACTATTTTAGAATTATTTCAAGTATTTTATTTGCCCTATATAGTAATATAATTGGAATATTGCACAAACAGTGGGTTTCTTGATATCGTCTGCATTAGGCCCTTTCAACCAAACAGGAACATTTGAAATACATTCATATCTAAATCAACCTACTTCAAAACGTACCTTTGCCAAAAATTCTGTTATACTAAAATTAGGGAGTATTTTTAAAGCATACATAAGGCAGATCAGACCCTCTTTTAAGGACAATTAAAAATGGGGTTTAAAAGAATTGTTCATTCAAAATATATTTAAAGCATCTTAAGTAACTATATTAAAACCAAGGATCTGCAAACCATTTTCAGGTTAATATATTCCATCTTACTAGCTGTAAACTCCTTGTTATCACAAGCTAATAAAACTGGTCAATTAACACTATTTGTTCTAAGTAAATGCAGGCTTAGTAGACCCCCTTTCAGTAGTTTCAGGCCATAAATAAGATAATTCAAGTAAAAATGGCCATGTTAAGTGGGGATAAAGTGGTACATACGGGCTAATGAGAAAAATGTCAAGAAGTTGTGTGATGAGAATTGAAGTAATTTAAGAGTAAACTTCCAATAGATTTAGTTCTAGAACATTTTCTAAAAATCTGTTTTTAATTTTAAATTGGTGAGAAATTTATAGAAACTTATGCCTCCTACTATTGATACTGAACAAACCCTTCCCTTGCTGATTTTAATGAGTCAAAGACTTTTTAATGGTATCTTCCTTACTCCTTACAAAAGAATCTACTGAAAGA